AGAATGTATTCATAAAGGAAGTGTGGTGTAATCACGTGGTGTTACCACGTGGTGTTATCACGTGGTGTTATTATTGTACAATTTTATGACCAACAGTTGTCTAGGCATGTTCACACTTCATCATCACCTTTTTTTTTCTTCATCAATAGCACTTTTATTTGCTGCTTGGGTTGTGCATTTTACACAAATCATCTATAATTATTTTAGTGTTTTTTAAAGATAAAAATTTAAATATGAGTCACAAATATCAATATACTATTCGAACGGAAAAGTATAATACTCTAGACACTCATGTTAAGATCAATAAATATAACACATTTAAGAGGGAATGGGAGAAAGAACAACGTTCACAAGGAAAGACATCTCTCTGTGATATGAATTGTAGAGTCGTGTCTCATTGCATTCAATCACTCTTGTGAATTTGTTTGACTTTTTCTCCCAGATCTGATTTTGCCAGTTGATCTGTGTAATATGAAACGAGGTGTATCAACGAAGTGGCGAAGGTTTCTGATTACGTGCAATATATACCACACAACATGTACCTGCGCTCTTTGGGATGATCGCGTACGTCACGTGCCGGAAGTGATACGTCAGTGAATGACGTACATGCACGCCATGCGCTTCACTACTACGATACCGCTTCACAGGCTCCCCACAGTGCTGCCTCCGCCACAGTGATGCAGCTTTTAGACAAACACAACTTATAGAAACGCCAATGACTTCAATATCATGTTTAATTATAGTTTATAAGGTTATGAAGCTAACGTGTGAAATGCTTGTTAAATAAAGTTGGCAACATTTTTTTTTCTTGTACTTCATTTAAGTGCGGGGTGAAAGTTTTTGTTATAGTGTATACTTATCATAATGTGATGTGCAAACATCGTGTTATGGTATGCGTTTGTCTATGATGTGCACCCGTTATGTTATGTCGTGCAACTATCATGATGTGGTGCGCACACATCGTGTTTTGTTGTGCACTCGCCATGATGCGCACCCGTCTTGTTATGATGTGCAAATATCATTTTATGATATGTGTGTTCATATTGGTTTGGTATGGTTATACTTACATTTAAATTTCTTTACAATTTTGTTTTCTATATACATTTTAATTATTAAGAGTTTTTTGATGCATAAAATTGTAGACAAAGCTATACTACGAAATTAATTTGAAGTTATTGACAAAACCAAAAACGACTATCCCAAATCGACTGTAAACATTTTGGTTTTGTAGTATATATTGTGTTCATGGTCTGTTTACTTTTACGAGTATATTGTTTCACACATCAATAAAATCGATGGCTTTAACAATATTAGTAAAACAATGATGGAAGCAGTAATTAGAAAAAAAATACTCATTTGTACATTTATTTTGTATAAAGATGTAGTGAATATGTCATTAGCTTCTGTTACTCATCTATCGTTATCTGTCCATTTCAAGTGTTATATTACTCCAAAACAGACACAGTCTACGCAAGAAAACTTTCTAAGAATGTATAGGTTTGATAAGTTTTGGTCACTTGGATTTATAGAGCATTCGTTCAATTTCCAAATGGTTTGAAAAATCAATTGTCCGGATAGCGTTTGCTAACATCGTACCAGGGCTTCACGTAAAGGTACTGCGTTCATACATGGTATAAATTCAGGAATCGACAATTAAAATTAATATAGTCGGAATAGATAGGTTCTAGGCTTGTCTTAGCCTTGCATTCAGTCTCTTGTTTTGTTTTTTTTCAATTAAAGCGGGAGGGTCGTCACCTGCGCACGCGCGGGAATTGAGTCCCAAGCGACGATAACAACACACGCTAAAACGCAAAGGCTCATGGGTAGACGCTTGTTTGTAAACAATGACACGCTATAGCCATCTAACACATGCGCGGGTACCCCAGACCATTCGTCCCGGTGTTATCGCTATCGCCACACGAGACTCCAGCTTGTCTCCTATACAATTTTCCTTCCGCCCACTTAATTTTAATATTCATATGACCTTTGCACTGACATCGATAGCCAATCGCATTCGACCGCGGACGTCACTCTAAATAAACAACTGAATAAATTAATATACCATATTTGGAAGATAGCGGGTAAATTCAACGTTGTTGGTGTGTTCCTTCGGGTTCCGAAGTCGCACGAAACGAGTTCATGTTCCGTTATCTTTCGCAAGTAAAACAGGTCGATATGTATTAAACATGGCATTTGTTTTCTTGTTTTAACCCCCTTATTACGCAAGCTTCCGTCGAAGTGGTGTTTTTTTCGACGATTTGTGGCATGTTGCAAAACGAACGAAACATTGCGGCATTCTTAGCGGT